AAATGTTAACCCCAGAGATAATGTGCATCAGTGGACTTATTTTGATCAAAAGGGGACTTGTCAAAAGGAAACACACCTCCAAACATTGCCAGCTGTAAGATGTGTTGTGTACAAACACCAACTTGGCTGCAGGAGGGTAGGGAGACGGAAAACAATGAAGTCTTAGAAACATAAAAATACTCTTCTGAACATTTTGCCACTCTCACAGGTCAGTATTGGGGGCTGTTGCTTTCATGAGTAATTCCTTAGAAAAATAGATGTAGACACACGGGAACCAATAACAAGGGTCAAAGAAATAACTGATGTAGTTAGCTCCAGGCATTCACATCTGATATGCCTCCTCAAAGCCTGAGCAAATTTGAAAATCTTAAATCTCAGCCAAAGGGGACTGCCAAGCAAGAATGCAACCTAGTTGTCTCCGATGTTGTCTCAGGGCGGTTCCACACAGGCCTTGAACGCGGGTACAATTGGGTTTCAGAAATACGATTGAGCTCAGGTTAAAGTACACACACCTCTCCCAAACATCTGTGCATTCCTGAGGAGAGGGGATGCCTGAGTGTCTGGCATGGGACCAAGACACAACACAAAACCTCCCAGAAAAGCCTTAAAATCCAAAAATAACTTATCTGGATACCATTCCCCATTCTCTGGAGCTTTAATGGCATGTAGAAATGATGTGCCAGGCAAAGAGGGTCCAGAAGTGATTTTTCCCCTACCTCCTTCTCCTGGTATGTCATTTCTCCATGGGAGGAGAGCTCTGGAGAAGGGGGAATGGTGGCCAGGTAAGTTATTTTTCAGTTTTAAGACTTTTCAAAGGAGTTTTGGGAGGGAGTGGGGGTTGTCTTGGGTTTTTCGGGCTCCAGGAGCCGAAAAAACCCAAGACACCTGTGTGGATTGACAGGAAAAACGAAATGCAAAGATACAGAATGGGGGGTGATGATGCCTGGCTCGAGAGCTGTACGTGTGAAAAAGATCTTGGAGTCCTCATGGATAACAAGTTACACATGAGCCAACAATGTGATGTGGCAGCAAAAAAAGCCAATGGGATTTTGGCCTGCATCAATAGGAGCATCGTGTCTAGATCTAGGGAAGTCATGCTACCCCTCTATTCTGCTTTGGTTAGACCACACCTGGAATATTGTGTCCAATTCTGGGCACCACAATTCAAGTGAGATATTGACAAGCTGGAATGTGTCCAGAGGAGGGCGACTAAAATGATCAAGGGTCTGGAGAACAAGCCCTATGAGGAGCGGCTTAAGGAGCTGGGCATGTTTAGCCTGAAGAAGAGAAGGCTGAGAGGAGATATGATAGCCATGTATAAATATGTGAAAGGAAGCCACAGGGAGGAGGGAGCAAGCTTGTTTTCTGCTTCCCTGGAGACTAGGACATGGAACAATGGCTTCAAACTACAAGAAAGGAGATTCCATCTGAACATGAGGAAGAACTTCCTGACTGTGAGAACTGTTCAGCAGTGGAACTCTCTGCCCCGGAGTGTGGTGGAGGCTCCTTCTTTGGAAGCTTTTAAACAGAGGCTGGATGGCCATCTGTCAGGGGTGATTTGAATGCAATATTCCTGCTTCTTGGCAGAATGGAGTTGGACTGGATGGCCCATGAGGTCTCCTCCAACTCTTTGTTTCTATGATTCTATTCTATGATTGAGTTACATGATGTGTCCCCAGGCCCAATCCACACAGCGCCCACACCTGGAAAGACCTGGGTCTTTCCAGATGTCAAATTAATTTGGGACAAAGCAGGGTTGTTTGGACACCCCCCAAATTGCAAAGACTTGTGTGTTTTGGGCACTGTCTGGATGCGCCCTCAATCTTCCTTCACATCTGATAAAAGAGCACAACCTTCAGCTCCAAACAAGATGATGGCCAAAAGCAGAATATCTTTTGATAGAGAGAAACCTCCATGGCAGGAGTAGCATTCATTGAAGATCTACCCCTGAAGATCAGGACCACTACAAAATTTACAAATGTACTTATGGCTGTTTGTTTCATATTCACATTCATTGTGTGTAGTTTCGAGGTTAGATCCTGGTTTTGGAAGTCCCCAATCCCCATTTACAAGGTTATTATCTTGATAGTTGAGAAGAAGATGGCTGACATTGTTCGCACGTGAGAGATATTTGGCACACAAGGGAATTGTGGCAATGGACTTGCCTCTATCAGTCATGAGAGAAAACATTCTTGTGTGGCAGTGGCAATATCAGTTACAGTCTTCCCAACTGTCAATCCTGTCAATCATAGCAGTTGCTTGTTTTGTAAATCACATCCATCACTCCACAACAGGATTACAGCCTATTGGATTTTCTTTCTTTTTAGATGTTGTATAACTGCACAATTCATAATTTTGGCCCAGAATACTCAATATACTCAAGAATAAGTCCAAAAATTTAGTCAAAAAAATCAAACCTGGGTTGACTTATCCATGGGTCATTGTGAGTACTGAACCTCACTTGTCTAAAAAAAGAGGCCATCTCCTTCTCTGAGTTGAGAACTTAGTATATCCCAAGAGAATATAAAGGAAACACCATCTCCCCTCTCTCCTCTTTGCAATTACACAGCTTCTGGCCTCTTAAAATTGGGGCAGCAGTAGTTTTCCCTCTATATATAATGACTTTCAACCTATCCATGGTCATAACAAAATCCATAAGTCTGGTCCCCAAAACTTTCCCTTTACATATACATAAAGTTGACTTATGTATACTCCATCCTCTAAATTACACTGGCCAATATACATTTTGGTGCCTCAAATGTTAGACCTGTTAGATTATCCTATTTGACCTGATGGTTCCAAAATCTGTACCAATTTTGTCCTGTCATCTCTAGTTTTTGAAATACAGAACACCTGCCATCTACCAGTCTTCATCTATTCATGCATAGAAAACCATGACAACCATATCTAAGAAACTAGAGCTGATGTGGTCTATCCAATGCGATTTTCTGAATCAGTGCTCCAAATAACCTCAGGAACAGGCCTAAAAACCAAGACATCAATAATTTTGGGGGGTTGTGTTATTTTTCAAATATTGCCAATGAATGTCTGCACCCCTATAACCGAATATGAATATTATAGTTCCCAAAACACACCAGTAACATAACCTTGCGATTTCCACATTTAAGAAACAGCAATCTTCATCTCAATGGAGTTTTTTTTTTTTTTGGCATAATTATTAGTTAGCCAGGAACTACAACCCCAACACAATTAATTTCCATCTGCATATCAGAGCTGCAGGTACCTCCTCCACATTCAAAGCTTCCAAGGCCCTCAGCTCCGTTAGACAAAGTGCCTTCGTATCCCAAAGCACATTTTATTATTGGAAGACAAATATTTGCTTAAATGCCTCCATTGGGTTGGAAAATTGTCTCAATTAATGTGAAGACACTCCTTGGTTTGTTTTCCCTTTCATGAGCATCGAAACACAAGGCATGTGGGACTTCTTTCCCTTAGCTGTCATTTCACATTAACCTCCCTTTGAATTTGCATGAGAAATTCACAGAGGCTGAGCTTCATGACTTGAAGAAAAAGACATCTGGCCAAAAAAGGATATTGCAAACACAAGGAGGGCCCGAGCACACCTGGCATTCTTTTGAAGATTTCATGAATGACGGTGGCCAAGAGCTCATCCTCCATGGATCAATCTAATTGGTAGATGAGCATCAGCTGATATACGGTGCCATCTCAACAAACACAAATCCACTACAAGTCGTAGTACATAAATCACAAAGGTAAATGTTTTTTTCAGCTTATATAATACAATATTAAACGTATAACCAACTTATATGATGCAGCATTGAGCAATACACAATGAACAAAAAACTTGTTTATACAGTGATTTTACATCAGTAACAAGAGTAGAGTCTTTCTTGCTGCAAAGCAGACTTCTCTTAAGGGCATAAGATCCCTTATTTTCACTAAAGATACTCTTGAGTGGAGTTTCCAGTCCCTTGTAAGAGGATATCCATGTAGAGGATTTCCAGACCCGGTTTCGACTAACGTCTTCCTCGGGTGGAGAAATGTGAAGACTACAATGAAGTGGACATCAAGTTCTCCATATTTATAAATGTATAAATATGTGAGAGGAAGCCACCGGGAGGAGGGAGCAAGCTTGTTTTCTGCTTCCTTGGAGACTAGGACACAATGGAACAATGGCTTCAAACTACAAGAAAGGAGATTCCATCTGAACATGAGGAAGAACTTCCTGACTGTGAGAGCGTTCAGCAGTGGAACTCTCTGCCCCGGAGTGTGGTGGAGGCTCCTTCTTTGGAAGCTTTTAAACAGAGGCTGGATGGCCATCTGTCAGGGGTGATTTGAATGCAATATTCCTGCTTCTTGGCAGGGGGTTGGACTGGATGGCCCATGAGGTCTCTTCCAACTCTTTGATTCTATGATTCTATGATTCTAGGTCACAAAGAGTCAGAAACGACTTAACGAATTAACATCAACAACAATTAAAGAGAATTCTGAACCCCACCAATTATAGAATTGGGCCAATCCCACACAGAACTCCCATGACCAACAGAAAATATTTTGTTTTGTGATGGTCTCTGGTGACCCCCTGACACCCCCTTGTGAGCCCCCCAGGGGTCCCGATCCACAAGTTGAGAAATGCTGGATTAGCATCAGATAGGTCGTGATGTAACATAGTTGCTATCTTTACAACAGAGAGGACTTTTAAAAACACAGAGAAATGAGATAATCCAGAAGTTCTAGTTTACTTCCTCTTTCCCTATGTCTTTAGGTGAAGGAAAGGAGCAAGAGAGTAATGGAGGGAGGGAGGACAAAATACCAAGAACAAGAAAAAAGAGAGAAAAAATAGCATGCCAGGAAACACAGCTATTTTCCAATGTTAATGTTCAATCTTATGGTCTCTTCTGCAGTCTGAAGTGCTAAAATCCAGACATAGGTTAACTGTCTTGTCACATTGCAAACACTCAGCCTCTGAAAGGGCTAATCATGGATTTAAATAAACAAATACTAATAGGAGCACCTACCTATTGTCTCTCCCTGTTCATACACCATAGAGGCCAAGTCCTTGATGATCTGGTTGACATCCAACATATCACTCTGAAAAATAAAATCAAACAAAAATAAACAAAAGGACAAGAAATAAATGGAATTATTGGGAACATAAGGTGAGTAAGGCTTAGCACTTTAACTGAAATGTCTAGAGAACATCGAGTAATTTTGAAAGGCTTTATCAACCCTCTGTCATTTTCTTCGAAGTGCCACACTTTGTATGTCCATTTGTAACATCACTTTGGTCGAATTTTATCAGAAGTTGAGAAATGTTCAAAATACTTCTGGGAATGTCTGGAGGTTTGACTGGACTTCTGATAACCACAGAAAACAAAGTATACCAGTAGAGGCTGGTGAGGTCAGCCAAGTAGCGAATCATCTCCAAGTTTAATCTCAAAGTCCAAACTTTAAGGGTAAATATCTAAGGTATGGAATGCATTTGGAGTTCGGTTTTGAAACACAATGTTTTCTGTTGGTCATGGAGGTTCTGTGTAGGGAAGTCTGGCCCAATTCTATTGTTGGCAGGGTTCAGAATGCTCTTGGACTGTAGATAAATCCCAGTAACTACAGCTCCCAAGTGTCAAGGTCTATTTTCCCCAAACTCCACCAGTGTTCACATTTGGGCATATTGAGTATTCATGCCAAGTTTGGTCCAGATCCATCATTGTTTGAGTCCACAGTGCTCTCTGGATGTAGGTGAACTACAACTCCAAAACGCAAGGTCAGTGCCCACCAAACCCTTCCAGTATTTTCTGTTGGTCATGGGAGTTCTGTGTGCCAAGTTTGGTTCAATTCCATCACTGACGGAGTTCAGAGTGCTCTTTGATTGTAGATGAACTATTAATCCCAGCAACTACAACTCCCAAACGACAAAATCTTTTTTTGAGTGAGGGACATACATTGGTTTAGTTGGTGTCTTGTGGCCAAATTTGCCGGCAATTCGTCCAGTGGTTTTTGAGTTATGTTAATCCCCCAAACACACACACACAGAGACACACACACACACACACAAATTGCACAGTGAATTCCCATTTTAGTGGGATCGACCAGTGATGGAGAAATCACCTGATTGCCTCTAGTCTTGCAAAGTTGCTGCTAGTCAGAATAGACTATACTTGACCTCAAATGATCTATCGTGGTCAGAAGCAGCTTCCTACAATATGAGGGTGTTGATAGAAATCCAGCTGTTTTACACAAACTGTATTTTTTTTGCCTTGTACATTATATAAATAGTCCCGGGAAGCAAAATCCTTATTTGTTTATGCAACATCATGCAGTAAATTGTGATAATAAGAACTGGTGAGCCATAACGGAGGGACCCAATTCATAAAAACGGCAAAGTCCGAGCAATAGGATCCTCTCGGTCATTTTTCCTACTTGGTATTATAGCATGGCAGTAATGCTATTTCATTGGAATATCCCAAGCGGAAATTGCTCCATTATGGTCTCTTCTTTTTGATGCTGAAATTATCCTCGGCAATTTCCCTCTGCATTTTTGGACTCTGCGTGGCACGGAAATATATGACATCATGGCAATCGCTGAAATAGAATCTTTGAGGTAAACACAGAGGTGCCCGTTAGGTCAAAGCATCGGGGAAATTGTAAGCAAGGAGATGGGATTGAAATACCTTTTAAAGTAAGAAAGGAATGCAAAATAATAAAGCAAAAATGGGCTATTCCTCCTCAGGCAGAACCTGTTAGAAATTTGGAGAGAAGCAAATGGTGTGGAGACATTGTTTATTGGTTTGGAGGAAATGAAATCGGGCACAGTCCTATCATTAGATGGAGTCTGGCAATGTGTCAGATGACAGATGATGGAACTACAACTGGAACTAGAAAGTCGAAAAGGATTGTATGAGGTGATCGGGGCCATTTTGACTATTTCATAGGTAAAATGCCCCAAATCACTTTATTTTACTTGTTAGTGTAATTAAGTCCTACTTTATCCCTCGGATCCCCTGTCCAGATACATTACATTGCTCTCTCACCCAATGTTTTTAAACTTTTCATCTCTGCAACCAGCCCTGCCCACTGTGATCAACTTTCTGTGTTCAAATATTGTGATTTTATATTGTTCTGATATGCTTATTTATACTGTTTCTTGTATTTTATCTTATTTTCTTATATTTTATTTTTGTATTTTTAAGTTGTATATTTGCATTGTTGTATTGCTGGGCTTGGCCTCATGTAAGCCGCCCCAAGTCCCCTTGGGGAGATGGTGGCGGGGTATAAATAAAGTATTATTATTATTATTATTATTATTATTATTATTATTATTATTAGAAACACAACGAGATAAAATCATAGAAAAAGAGTTGGAAAGGTCCTCATGGGTCATCCAGTCCAACTCCTTGCCAAGAAGCATTCAAATCACCCCTGACAGATGGCCATCCAGCCTCTGTTTAAAAGCTTCCAAAGAAGGAGTCTCCATCACACTCCAGGGCAGAGAGTTCCACTGCTCACAGTCAGGAAGTTCTTCCTCATGTTCAGATGGAATCTCCTTTCTTGATGAGTCCACAGCAGACAAGATCACTCTGCTGGCTGTTGTATTGGATCACACGTCGGACACTTCCCAAGTGTCTAGGACTGTGTCATGTATCGGCAAATAATGCTTGCAGATCCCAGTAGGATGGCCTTTTGCAGATGGTAATTTTGTCAGTGCCGCTTGTGTTTAAGTGCAGGCCAAGGTCTTTAGGCACTGCACCCAGTGTGCCAATCACCACTGGGACCACCTTGACTGGCTTGTGCCAGAGTCTTTGCAGTTCAATCTTTAAATCCTCATATCGTGTCAGCTTTTCCAGTTGTTTCTCTTCAATCCTGCTGTCACCTGGGATTGCAACATCGACAATCCATACTTTGTTTTTAACACGATCATGAGGTCAGGAGTATTGTGCTCCAAAACTCTGTCTGAATTCGGAAGTCCCAGAGTAGCTTGACGTGTTCAGTCTCTATAACTTTTTCTGGCTTGTGACCCCACCAGTTCTTTGTCGCAGGAATATGGTGTTTGTGTCACAAGTTCCAATGAATCATCTGAGCAACGGTGTTATGCCTCTGCTTGTAGTCTGTCTGCGCAATCTCCTTGCAGCAGCTGAGGATGTGATCTGTTGTTTCATCTGCTTCCTTACAGAGTCTACATTTGGGATTATTATTATTATTATTATTATTATTATTATTATTATTATATCAGACGCCAAGTTTAGATTAAAATTTCAAAGGGGGGCTTTAAATTCTCCAAAAATATTTCATGGAAGATAAAGAAGGGATTCCAGGTCTACATGCAAGCCGGAGACTTTTTTCCACCATCGCCTTAAATAACTTTGCTGTTTGTACGACGCTGCTGGTGTTGAAGATTCAGTTCATTGAACTGAATTGAAGGATACCGTTTCCATTCCCTCTCCAGTCAACTTCAGGGTTGGGGGGTGAAGGCTGGAGGGGAAATGAGTTGGAAAGCACCAACTTGTCCTTTGCTTCGGATGGTAAGATCTTGTGAGGTTCAGGGAATTCTCAGCCTCCTTCTGTAAAGGCTGGTAACTATTTAGGGAAAGGATTCAGCACTTTGGATAGCTCCATCCATCAATCACATTGTTTATATCTGGCCTTTCTCCCAGACGAGATTCCAAGCAGCTCACAAAGGCCAACAATTACAGCAAAAACACACTTGCCTGAAAACATACCAAAGGTGAAACTGGAAAGCAACAACAGAATTAAAACCAAACAAAACCTTGTTTTAAAATGGTACAGTGCTGTTAAGATGCCTTTCTCTTGTTAACAATGAGCTCCTGGAAAAGAAAGAATCGAAGGGGTTCTGGTGTCCCCCAAAAGGTAGCAAAGAAGAAGTTTTCCTAACTTTGGAAGGAAGGGACTTCCAAAGTGTGGGAGAAGCCATAGAGAAGACTTTACCCATGTTCCCACCAAATGTTCCTAGGAAAGTATGGGATAAAGAGAAGCCCTGGAGAGCTTACAGGTCAGATAAACTCATATGGGAAGATGTGGCATCAAATTAAGCCATATAGGGCTTTATGGATCTTACCCATCAATCTGAGTTATGTTTGGAAAGAGACCTACAGTCACTCGCTGATCACAACAATGGGATTCCATGCTCCCTGTAACTGATTTCCACCAGTACCTTTAAAGTGTGTATTAAAATCCTGAGCTCCTTTGCTACCCCATTGAAATTGAAGGCAGCAGCTTCAATTGACTAAGTGACCCAATGAGTCATAAGTTCTGTATGTGCAATCCTGTATTTGATAAACCCCTTCTTGACTGATCTTATCAAGCATGTAAAGATTGAGCCCTCTTGCAAGATGTCTTTCCTGAGAGTCTATACTCACAGGGTATCTAGTTCAACCCCATTTAGCCATGCAGGAAGGCACAGTGGAGTTCTCTTGCAAGTTGTCCTTCCAGCCTTTCTTTCTACCTCCTTCCAGAACCTCTGGAAGGGTTCTCCCAGAGGGCATCTAGTCCAGTCTTCTTTGGCCATGTCCTTCTCACTCTCTTCTCCTTTTCCCTTTCCCAAGGTCTTTCTGGCCTTTCTTTCTGGACAACTTTGCACTTCCTTCTAGGAGAATCTATACTGGAAGGGCCCACTTGAGGGTATCTAGTCCAAGAATCTACACTGGAAGGTCTCCCCAGAAGGCATATAATCCAACTCCATTTGGCCATGCAGGAAGGCAAAAGTGGAGCCCACAGTCCAATCCTGGAATTCAGAATATTCTGAAAACCAAACATTTCCACATAGATAATTGAGATAGTGATAACTTTGCTTTTAGATGTTTTTTTTAAACTTTGTTTATTTCACACAATTATTTAACATATTGTATATGAAATTAACCCCTGGCTCTGTGTGTAAGGTTTAGATGAAACATAAATGTATCTCACATTTATATTATGTCTCCAAGGTATCTCATTATATGTATTCCAAAATCTGAAAATATAAACATTTTTGGTGTACATTTTGGATAAGGAATACTGAACTTCGCTGACCCCACCAGCCTCTACTGGTATCCTTTGTCTTCTGTGCTTATCAGAGGTTCAATCAAGCCTCTAGG